GCACATCTATTTGACCACGTTTACCCCCGTGAGGTGTCCCTTCGTTTTTAACAGACCCAAAATGTATGGAAACCGTTGGACCTATTCCTGACTAGTTTAGGATTGTAATCTCTGAGCAGTTCTGGGTTTTCTTTTTATTGTATTTGACATGTTTTTTATCATGCTGTAAGCTCTGGGCTGCAAGCTGGGGAGTCCTGAACCTGTTCTCTGTAGAAATAGATGCAGTTTGTTGGTTTTTTACTCCATCCTCACCGGGTTAAACATTTTTAGATCAGTATTAACTTCCATCCAGTAGAGACCGAGCAGAACATGTTACAAAGCAATACATGAATTATTCTCATTTAAAAAGCACCTTAATCCGCTTACCGCTACCATAAAGACCCCCGGGTGCCTCGTGATGTTTGAGGCCTCGCCGTGGCGTATCCATGGTTACCGCATCAACACGATGACAGGCTGCTGCTGACTGATCAGAGGAGCAGGTGTGGCCCGCGAACCCTGTGAGCTTAAAGACGGCAGCTGGAGAATCGAGCTGGAAATGTAAAAGCTGTGTGTAGAAATGTGTGTGCTCGCAACGAGCGGTACATGAGGCTAAATAGTTAAACCTTTAAAGCCCGAGCCAAGAAAAATAGGAAGAATATTGGATTTTTTTAGTCTGAAGTCTTTCTTTGGCCCCTCAACAACATATGAAGAAAAAAAACTGAAATTATTTTGATCAAATTATCGTGCAATAAGTCAAGAATATATTTTGGTGTAGTCTTCGACTGGCTGTTATCAGGTGTATCTGAATGTGTACAACAGGGGTTTGAGCAAAGCTTTTACCACTGAATGATGCAGAAAGTCTCAGATCCAAAAGACTTCAGAAACTGTATGAATCAAATATGACACATTTGGCATTATAGGGTTAAAGGGTCTAGGGACTACTTTTTTTAAAAACTGGTAAAGATTCCTGGTGATTGGTGAATCCCAGGTCCAACCTGGGGATATTTGCTGAGTGTCTTTCCTCCTTTGTGGCCCATTTTCTGTCAAATAAAGACGACTGGAGTCACAAAACCTTAGGAAAAAAGGACAGAAAATGTAAAGGGTTGTTCTCCAGGATTTAGACAAAAAATATGGAATAAATTATATTTTGACGCAGGGATTTGTGCTTCAAAACTAAAAGCAGAAGTAGCTCTGATGCTTTTATCAAACAGCGAATGAAACAGAAACACAAACGTAAAGAAATATTAAAGAAAATAGAAGTCCGTCCTGTGGGGGAACAATATATCTATGATCATTTTCTTTCCTGTTCTTCTTTTTTATTCTATTTCTTTTCTATTTTATTCTCTCTGGTAAATTTCCACTATTGAGTATTTTAAAGGTCCTTTCCTCCTTCAAGGTCTAAGATAAGTCCTCCTTATATTTAGTCTAATTCTTGAGGATTGTTTAATGCAGATGCAGAATGGAAGACAGACTTTACGTCTCCTTTCAGACTCAGACTGGAATTAAATGCTCTATGATTTTATTTTACTTTGGAGCAGCTTGATACGTTGAGAAGTTTTCCCTTTAATACATTTTCCATTTCTTATTCTCTTAAACGCATTCAGACTTTTGCTTCAGAATTTCCACAACAGTCCTCAACTAAAAAAACATGTGAATTTTGTGGTTTTGATCTCACAGAGATCTTGTCAGTGAATCACAAACAGACCAGAATGATGTTCTTTCACAGTCATTTATCTCCTCTGATATTGATCAGGAATCGGTATCAGAGGAGACGCCTGTAGATTGGATATAACGGCAGTTTTTCCTGATTAGTTTGGTCCTGCTGATGGAAACACTGGCCTCATTTCTGATGAGGAACTGTTGTGGAAATGTTATCTTAAAGCAAAAGTCTGAGTCCATCTGAGGAAGTAAGAAATAGAAATGTAATAAAAGGGCAGGAGGCTGGAAAAGGGGATGTGGGTCTGGAGCCCTGAGGGCTGATCGGGATCCCGGGTATGAGCCGATCCCATGTCTGTGGCGACAGCGTAACATGATGATTACAGATTTCAAAACACACTCTTCTACATGCCTGTGATGGCTGGTGGGGGGGGGGGGGACTCGGGGGGGGGGGCTTTGTGCCAGGAAACACAACAGGACCGAATCCATAGAAGAAGAACGCAGATGCAACACCTTAATTATCACCTGGCTCGTCTCAAAACCTAAAAACCTTTTTTATATCTCCGCCCGGATCCATTAAAAAGGGTCTGCCTCCCCTCTTTGTGGTTCGGTGACCTCGTGGTTTCGAAGCAAAGCCAGAAGCTGCAGTCACACCTCATTAAACGTCCCCGGCCGAGCCAAAACACCGAAGTATCTGTTTCTTTGAATCCTCGGTTTAGCCGGTGTGGATGCGCCGTCCCCCCAAAATAACTGCTGTGTTGAGTGAGTCAACATCAGAGATGTAGAAAGTACTGGAGTAGAAGTACAAGTACTATATCAAAAAATTGACTTGAGTAAAAGTTGAAGTGTTCTTTCAACTCCATACTTAAGTGGAAGTACGGAAGTACTCAA